TGTTATTAAAAATTATGGGTTAAACTGCAAAGTGCCAATGCAATCCAATCTTGCTTGTGGACATGGCGGCAAGCTCAGAGGAATATCCACACACTTTTTGTTCTCAGAACATTAATTTTGGGGCGAGCAAAGTGTTGATTTCAAGTACTGGTGAGTTTCTCTCAAAATAAGGAGTTAATTTTGAACGGATTAGCATTCAACAGGTCACTTAGACCTAATCCGCCATCTGACAATTAATAGTTTGAGGAAAATATGGCCCAAAACCTTTGAGGTGAGACACTTGTCTGAAAACAATTTTAATTTGAAAAAACATACGAAAAATATGGATGGGCACACACATCTCAGCAGCCTAAGAATAATCAGTGCCAGAAGATAGCAGGAATAAGGACTAAAGATTAACACTGAAGATCTAAGAACACTGCTTTCATCTTGTTGACTAACTTCTTCATTTTATAATTCTGTGAAAATCCCAGTAACATTTTGAATTTTTCAAAATATTTTTCTACATTTTGTTTTTTTAAAGCAACAGATCATTTTTTTTAGCTAAAGGCTTACCGCTGGTCTGCATTTATTGTCAGTTAACCTGTAACCAAAAATGTTTCCCATCTTAGCTACCACAAGCTTTTAATATTTATTAGTACAAACTTTTCTCCTTTCCTGAGATCCCAACGCTCAAGACCTGTTATTGTTGTGATATTTTTCCTATTTTAGAATTTGAGCTTCTCTTCATCAACTGTTTCATAAAAACTTATTCCCCTAATATCACTGGATTATTTGTAGACAGTCTTAATTTAAATTCAGACTAGTCCCAATATCAGTTCACACTATCTTCCAACTTACAGCAAATTGAGATCAATGTTAATCTTTTAAAAGGATCAATTTATCACTAGACATAATGCTCACTTGATGATAGTCTTCTAATCTGATTTTTCATTGCTACTGCATCCAGAGCAACAATTTCACCTTTTCTATACAGCTATTCCTGCGATATCTATTTTCCAATGCCTTCTTAAATTTTTAGAACGATTCGTAATACAAAACCCCATAGGCTCTGTTTTGACTTTTCCATTCTTACTTTATTTTCCATAAGCGAATCCGATAATGAAAAGCAATGTTAGTTAAAAATATTTTCTCTAAAGGCCTGTCCAAACTTGTAACTTAGCATATATTGTTGGCGGGTGTGTGGGGGGAGTGATACGGAATAGTGCTTAGGCTTTTCTATTGCGAAAGTAATACTGGAAATCCCTTCCTACTTGTGCCTTAAATTCCTCAGTATTTCTGGTTGCTCAACAACATATCTGTGAGCCTCTATGTCTTCTTAGAAATAACAGACTTACTTTGGGAAATAGACACTTAGGAAATGTTCGATCACTTGCGACCATGCATTAGTGCACTTTCCAAGCTATCCTAAGCAGAGAGAGAGCAAAAGAGAGAAAATTCTTACCTCTTGAAGGACGTAAGACAATGCACATCACCAGCAAAGCAAGAACAGCAGATGTGGCAATTCCAAATACAATTTTTAACCATATCTACATAAAATAAAGAAAATTGACAGATGCACAGTTTCTGCTAGGAAGTAGAAATGGCAAGATTTTGTTTACACCTTAATCCTATTTCTCCCTCCCCACAAAGCTTTTGATTGTTTTCCACTGATCTGGCTATAATTGCTGGAATTCTTCCAGCTCGGCCAGAACAAATGTTTCTGCAATATATTCAGAATAATCTCTCCCTCCCAACCTACTCCAGGAAGTGCATACTTATGTATAAATCTTTACCTTCTAAACAATAGAAAACTCTGATCAAACTCAACCCAGCTAGTCCTCATTCTTTAGCAATACCTGAGGCTGCATATACTAACCTTCATTTTTCCAGATGTTTTTGAAAGTTAGCTGACTTCACAGCGTGGGTCACTGGATCTGTGAAAACCGTTGAAAAGCAGCAAGTCTGTCTTCAGAGTTGGAAGCTGAAGCTAGGACAAGGTTTTTTTTTTTTTTTTTTTTTTTTTTTTTTTTTTTTTTCTTTCCACGGACTTTTGAATACCGTGCCAAATTTCAAAAGATTTCTGTAAAATTAGAAACAGATTTTGGGGGCGTTCTTGGCCTTAAAATGAACTGTGAGTGGCTCAAGGGAGGTTTTATAGCCTTCTCATCCTTGTAAATTCTACACCAACATCTGCTTACGTTGACATACAGAGGTTTTAGTTTTATTTATTTTTTTTTAACAAGTTTGGGTTTATGTTTCATTTTCTTCTAGAAATCGCTCATGGATCACTTTGGCAAGTATAACCTTTTAATTTGCAACCGACATGATTTAAAATAGTAGAACTTCCAGGTACATACAATATATATATGTCTATTTTTTTTGCAGAGAAAGAAAATTAAAGCCATATAAGATTTTATGAGACATACACCACATAACTGCACATTTTTCTTCCCCTGGGAGATTATGAGGTACTTGCGGACAGAAATGTTTTTCTTTCAGCACAATTTCTTTGTCCATATAGCACCATATGCACTTTCAGTAAATACAGAAGTTTAAAAATTCAACTGTCTAAACCCACGACTGCTTTACTTTAAAGAAATAAAATGCCATCTGGTGAAATTTAGTATGGGTTAGGTGTGTATGCACAGGCCAGAAAGATGGAAAGATCAGTAAGAATAATTTACCAGCAGACCTTTGGAAGAATGGAAATGGCTTTGCAAAAGTGATATTTCTGCTCCTATTTCAGAATATATTCTGAGAGAAAAGACCATTTAGTAATTATAAAGCCTCTAAAACAAATAAAAAAGCATTTGAAAATAGAAGTAAGTCTTAAGTACAATTTCCTTTTGGCTAAATCCATGTAATTCCAAAGCAACTGGTCAATTCAACAGACCAGAAAGATGGTTGACTGAATTTTTAAAAAATGCATGCATACAACAGTTTCTTGGAGTTTTCTGGCTGGCTCAGTGCAGTTCACTTGGATAGATTCTGTGGTTCCACGTAAACACAGTTGTTAACCTACTGTGTCTTTTTTTTTTTTTTTTTTCCACCAACGATTTTCTTTTCTGGAAGTTTATAATATTCTCAACCTGACTCAAACAACCTTCATGGTGACATTTCATGAGTTGTTCATGAAAGATAATGAGGAAACTATACTGAAATCTGTTGCTGTTTGCTTTAGTCAGCTGGCCTGACTACCATGGGAGGCTCTCTCCAGCAAACAGCAGGACAGTGGCTTGTGAACTTCCTTTCAGACATTCTCCAGACATCCCTCCCTGGATTCCAGTCTTATGAAAATTCTGTTGAGGAAAATGAGTCATTCAGCACTTACTGGCAGAGAGATGTAGCCACCCGGATTCTAGATGAGTCGCCCTCTTTTGCAGTTGATGGGGCGAATCCTTTACAAACTGAAGCAATGATTAAGAGTAATATCCTGGTTATGCTCTATAGTTGCAGGCATATCCTTTGTGAGATCCTCAAACCTGAGATAAAAGCCACCAGCTAGGTTCCAAATGAACAGCTCCCGTGTGGGTCCTCTCTGATTGCCTCCTTTGGAAAATTCACACAACATGTTCTCATAAGTTCTGTTACAGCCTGCCAAAGCCCCAGAGTCCACAAGTACTTTTTAGTGTGTTATTTCCAAGACTTTACATTCTGAAGACTGACTGTAATAAATGATTAGGGTGTAATTAAAATGGAAACTATTCGCTTTAGCAATTAAATGTACACTGACACTTATCTAGTCTGAGTACCACTTAGGATTGCAGCCAAGTGTGGGTGTCCACAAGAGACCCAACTGGTAGGTTCTATGGAGAAATTGGGGTGCTTTAAGAGGAACAAATTTAAGTTGAAACTGTTAGTGAGTGGGTATTATGAGGCTGAAATATGTTTATTTAGTTTTGTTTATTTTTTCCTTGGAAAGTTGGTGATTCAGACTGCAACTTCTGGAAAATTCTTACTGGTTTAAACCTGTTTTTAGAAAAATAAGACCAACTACAGAAGTAAAGATGTCAAGAGTTTTTCTCATCCGATTCCATGGGTTAGGGACATGTTGCTTTATTTTTTTTTTTTAATTTTTTTTTTAACGTTTATTTATTTTTTTGGGACAGAGAGAGACAGAGCATGAACGGGGGAGGGGCAGAGAGAGAGGGAGACACAGAATCAGAAACAGGCTCCAGGCTCTGAGCCATCAGCCCAGAGCCCGAAGTGGGGCTCGAACTCACGGACCGCGAGATCGTGACCTGGCTGAAGTCGGACGCTTAACCGACTGCGCCACCCAGGCGCCCCAGGGACATGTTGCTTTAATAGAAGTATACATGTCCATCCCTTTTGAGATACTGTAAGTGTTCTAGCTTTCATCCAAACAAAATTTGGATCCTGTTAATATTATAACATCTTTACTGGCTTTTTCTTCTTTCAGAGTGAATATTAAAATATTTATGCTAACAATTTTTTAAATATTAGGAAAACTGACCACCATTCTTATTTTATACAGTGAGTTAATATCCAGTCAGCATGTATGTCAGGAAAACAGGTCTGTCCTCAGGGAGCTTACTTTCTAGTATAAGCAGGACTGGCAAGTTCTTACATATTCATTTCTTTTGCCTTTTGGGAGCTCTTGCTGAGAATGAGCCTGAGGCTGGGTTTGTGCTTAGTAAGCAAGAGACCCCTGATGGGTTGTTGACTTCCACATAAAGGCAGGAGGAGTCAGAAAGTCCACACACCATGTTTGATATCCTTAATGTAAGTCTAGTTTTTGTCAGGACTGGATGTTTTTCAGAAAGTCTACTCAAATGCAACAGAAATGGAAAGTATGACTTTGGCTTATATAAAACTAAGAGCAAGAGTTAGGATAATAGAGGCTCAACTGAGCTTTTCCCCAAAGATGGGCCTTCTGAGGGTTAATTTGGAATATGACTACCTTCTGATAGGCCCACTGGGAAAGTTGACTATAATGTAAACCTTTAGCTTACTAAGACAGATTTATAGACCTGTTCAGCAGTAGCCACTGTGCATCTGCCAAAAATGATTTTGATGTAGATGTTTTCCTAGAAAACACAGCCAGTGATACACCTGTAGAAAGTGAATGGCAGTAAGACCATGCTGAAGGCGTGAATAGGGATGCTCTCTCTCGTTATTTGGGGGTAGGAAGATAAAAAGAGATACATTTATTAACCAAAATCTAAGACAGATTATTTAATGGCAAATTATAAGTAAGGGGTATGAGGACAGGAGCGGAGTCCACATAAGCCTTGATTTTTATAAAATAAGAATTTTCTCTTAAGAAGGCCACACCTGCCCATCTGATTCCTTAGATTCAATAAATATTTCTAGTTCAGTGGTATATACAAAGAGCTTTAGTACGTTATTTTATTTAACTCATAATCAAAACTCATTTTACTGACTAGAAAATGAAGCCCAGACAAATTAGTTAACTTACCCAAGATTCCAACAGGACCCAATGTTAACATATTACGTTGTTTTTTTGTAATAGCTCCTGAAGTTGGTTCAATAGTAACAAATATGTTTTTAAATTTAATTGACATCTCACTGATTCTCTATTCAGAGATATTTTAAGAGTATGATAGTAGAATCATTATCATTAAAATATGCACAATTCTCACATCTTCAAAGGACATTGTTATGTATGTCTTAAAAGATCACAGTCTCACCCTACAGGTATAGGGTTCAAAATATAAATTTGGTTAGTCTTATTAAAATGAAGATCTAGTAATCAAAGCAATAATTATTGCCTGGGGCTAAAAGGTCTTCCTTCAGGGACCTGTCAAAATTAAGGGATTCAGCAGAATCCCATCATCAAAGAGATTTTGAGATCCAAGCTGAAAGATTCCTGAGATCTTCAAAGCTCATAATAGCTATCCACAACTGTAGATCTGAAAGAAGTGGCAGAACAGCATAACAGTGCCAGGGTTTAAATCACTCTTTGAATCTGGTCTATTTCCTAAAACCACAATCGTTATATAAGGGAGAGTATGAGGCAATATGCCTCCCAGTTTGTAATTGGTAACTACTACCTTGATAGATGTTATAATTAGACATCAGTGGTTCCAAATATAATAATTAGGGCAAGTTCTCCTTGGACATGCAGAGAGTTAACTATCAAAGTTAGCTTAGGAAAAAAAATTAGAGAAATAACCCATTTCTTTGGGTGCCTTGATGTAGTTTAAATATGTAAATATGATATCTCCTTAGAAATGCTCAATCAAGAAAGACTGACTAAATTGTATAAATTGAATGAGTGAGCATTTCATATATGTCAATACAACTTATTTTAAATTTTTTTTTCAACGTTTATTTATTTTTGCGACAGAGAGAGACAGAGCATGAACAGGGGAGGGGCAGAGAGAGAGGGAGACACAGAATCGGAAACAGGCTCCAGGCTCTGAGCCAGCAGCCAGAGCCTGACGCTGGGCTCGAACTCACGGACCGCGAGATCGTGACCTGGCTGAAGTCGGACGCTTAACCGACTGCGCCACCCAGGCGCCCCAATACAACTTATTAAAGCACACTGCGATTTCATTAATATTTTTAA